CGAACACTACAAAAAATAAATCTACGAATTGTTTTCAAATGCTGAAAAGACTTGAGCAAGATCAAACTGAATGAAAGAAATTTGAAGGTTCCCATAACTTGGTTGTGTTGAAGACACAAAAAGTGAAACCAAATATGAAGTGTCAAAAATAAGATTAGTACTGGTGTGTATTGTAAATAAGATTGATTAGGCTAAAGAATTATGGTAAAAACAAATCAAAATTGTCGAAAACAACAATCTTAAAAATTTATTCACTAAAAAATAAAATTGAGCAAAATAATACAAGTCTTGAATGAATTAAATGATTTATAGACACAGATAACTGATATATGGATAAAAAAATGTACAAAAAACAATGTGACTCACTAAATAAAGTCGTTATTACAATAAACAGGGAGAAAGTTCTCAACATCTAAAAACTAGAAATTAATAATGGTAAAATTGAAAAGCAATAAGGAAAATACAAAAGTAAATTAGATAAAAACTATAAAATGAATAAAAATTACAAAACCAATGTATAGTGATAAAAATATTTGAAAACTAAAAAACGGTCCAATAAAGACAAATGAAAAACCTGACCAATTAATAAAACAATCAACAGCTAATACCAAAAAATAAATTTTTTTTCCAGAGAAGTCTAATAGACAGCATTTGCATTTCCTCTTATTGATGACGCTCATCGCTTTTTCGGGCACATTCATGGGCAAGAACTTCTACCGCCAAATGGTGGTGATTGCTGATAGTCGGGCCAAGTGAAGCCCGATTTCCAGAGAAGTCTAAATATATATACATGCACTGAATATCAAACATGATAGCATTCAAAAAGCATTAAAAGAAAAAAGTGCAAGAAAAAACAGCACAATTGATATATAATGCTTTAGCTGAAAAAAAAATACCATCATTTTGTGCACCCTTCGTCGCATGGATGTGCCACCCTTTCAACATCTCAAAGCAGCGGTATCAGATGCAGCAATCTAAAAACATATTGTCGTTGGAAACCTAGTTGATACAAAACACGAAAATCTCTTCTTACCCATTTTTCTACATTCACAAAACAAATATTCACCAATGGTAGAGTAATCGCCCTTCTTGATCACTCTGTAAGCCTGTTTCGTAGGCTCTATCGGCTTCCATTTGAACATTCCTGGAAGCCTTCCTACAATCGCGGACTTAAATGTCGCCGGTAATACCCAGTATTACCGAACGCAGAAGCCAGACGCAAACTGTCTTGTTCTTCCTAAAAACTCTCCTGAATCATAAATCGAAAGACAAGCATCTGCACAAAAAAAGAAACATCCAACTAAATCGACTTTCAAAATACAAAAAACCAGAACTTAGAGGACTAAGCCTTCGTCCGGCTCCTTTTTAATCTCCATCGGTGTCAATGACACCTCTAAATTTTGTTAGGTAGACTCGGCCTGTTCCTGTAATTACACATAGTCATCATTTTCACCAGGGAGCTGCAGCCAGCTGCCTCCACTTCATTATATTCGATCTTTCAAAGTACCGGGCTTTTTACTTTATTTTCTCTCTGACATATGAGTCACTGCTACCTTTAAAAGTGGCTTCTTTAAGCAAGCCACTGCCCGGACACGTTATTTTTCTTGCTGAAGTAATAGAAGTTGCAATGTCAATTTCACGAAAATAGTCAATTGTGGAGAGCTCAGATGCCGCAATTCATTTGTCGAATTCATGAGAATCAATTAATAATGCGGTATTCTTAGACATTTTTCTCACTCAACTGTTACGTAAAATATATGCAATTATTAGAACTTGAGAAGAGTCATAATAAGAGAGCAACAAAAATTACCTATGCCCCTCCAGCCATTCATCGTTTGAGAACCTGATCCATCCCCAAACACCAAAAATGGCTGTGCGATTGACTCTGTGGGCGTTTGATATCTGAAATTGTGAATCGCTACTTATTTTAGTAATTTGACATGAAAACACTGCAGAAAAATAGATTAGCAATACTTTCGGTTTGATATTTGCAAGTTGAAAAATAGCCAATTCCACAACTAATACAACTAATATTACTTTAGGTAAGCAAGGGCAGACACAATGCCACGCATCACACAGCACATACACAACAATGGCGAGTGTGACTCGTGCAACCGCCCTCCGAGCCTCGCCCTTTTTAGGATAAGTGCATTCTACTCCGCACGTCTGCTCTCCCTTCAGACTCTGCTCCTCTGCCACACCACTGGAATTGTAACTACTACTACTACAGAAGCTTGATCCAAAAAATTGATGGTTGCGCTATTTTTATCTCCTCAATTTCTACTTCATTACTGACTTTTAATGTAGATCATCTCTTCGTCCTGAGCTTTCTCACTATCAATTACGACCGACGACTGTCTCTGAATGAAAAGAATCTACGAACTGTATCCAGATGTTGAAGACTAGAGCAAGGCTGAAGGAAAGAAATTTGAAGACACTCATATTTGGCTGTATCGAATATGACGAATTTAAGACCAAATGTGCGGTGTCAATAGTAAAGACACTGAAGCTACGTGTATTGCATTTATTAGACTAAAAAATTATGGTTTGAATAAATCAACACTGTAAAAAAGACAATTGCAAAAAAATTTATTGAAAAAATAAAACTGAGCAAAACAACACAAAAAATAAAATTAAAGAAAAATACAGTGCACATATGAAAACAAAGCAACTCAACAAACCAATATCATGAAAGGAATGTTTCTAAAAATTACAACATTGCTTCAGAGATTTTTGAATCAAAAAAAAGTGAAGCACAGTCATAAATCTAAAAATTCGTGCGATAAAAACATATATACTATTAGAGTTCTCAAAGTAAGCTCTAATATTTTAAAGCAACGTTGAAAAAAAGTTAGAATAATTTTGAAGATGAAGGCATTTGCCCTTAGGAACGTGTCTTCATCTACCTCTAAAAAGCAGTCACATTTTGATAAAAACACTCCTCTCAATTCACAAAGAATGAAAGGTCTCAACATAGAAAAAACTAGTAAACGACCAAAACAAGTGATAAAAGAGCATACATTAAATAACATTAAATACTACAATTTAGGAAACATTAAACACTATAAATCATATACTTAAAGCTCGATTCTGTTCCTTTTCTTTTGTAACTTTTGTAACTTCTTTTAATTTATATTTTTTGTTACTTTTCTCTATTTTTTTAAATCTTTTATTTACTTATTTTTTCGTTTATTTTTTTATTTTTTCTTTTCTTTTTTTTAATTTTTTTATTTTCTTTTATTTTTTTGTTTTTTTTAATTTTAAAAAATTTTTTTTCCACGCTTACAAACAAATTTATTGCTTGAAGCGTGGTAATTCAACTGCACCCGGTAATCCAATCATGTATTACCGAACGTAGAATTCAGGCGCGACTGGTCGTCCATCCTTGTTTTATTTCTTCTAAAATTTCGTCATGATAAGTCGAAAAACGAAGCATCTACAAAAAAATCAATAAATTTGATCGATTTTTAGACTCATCTACAAAAAAGCGAAACTTACAGGACTGACTATCGCGCCGCTTTGTCTGGCTCTAATGTTCGGAGGTGTAACTGACACCTCTCAATTTTGTTTGGTAGATTGAATGGCATCCTGTCATCGTTGTTCGAGGAAGCGGCACGTAAGCCACTTCCTTTTCTTCCATTCTTGAATTCGAAGGTGCCGAGAATTTCACTTCCTCTGCTGCTAGGCGTACTCGGCACCATTAAAAGTAGCTTCTTTAAGCAAGCCACTGCCCGGACACGTTATTTTTCTTGCTGAAGTAATAGAAGTTGCAATGTCAATTTCACGAAAATAGTCAATTGTGGAGAGCTCAGATGCCGCAATTCATTTGTCAAATTCACGAAAATCAATTAATAATGCGGTATTCTCAGACATTTGTCTCACTCAACTATTACGTAAAATATATGCAATTATTAGAACTTGAGAAGAGTCATAATAAGAGAGCAACAAAAATTACCTATGCCCCTCCAGCCATTCATCGTTTGAGAACCTGATCCATCCCCAAACACCAAAAATGGCTGTGCGATTGACTCTGTGGGCGTTTGATATCTGAAATTGTGAATCGCTACTTATTTTAGTAATTTGACATGAAAACACTGCAGAAAAATAGATTAGCAATACTTTCGGTTTGATATTTGCAAGTTGAAAAATAGCCAATTCCACAACTAATACAACTAATATTACTTTAGGTAAGCAAGGGCAGACACAATGCCACGCATCACACAGCACATACACAACAATGGCGAGTGTGACTCGTGCAACCGCCCTCCGAGCCTCGCCCTTTTTAGGATAAGTGCATTCTACTCCGCACGTCTGCTCTCCCTTCAGACTCTGCTTCTCTCTGCCATACCGAAGACAGTTACTCTGTTAGTAAGCTAGTTAGTTAGGAAGCAAGCAAGCCAATTACTTAGTCATTAAGTTAGTAAGTAATTAAGTAAGTAAGTAATTAAGTAGGTAAGTCAGTTAGTTAGTTAAGTATTTAGTTAATTAAAGGCCTTCGCCTATTCATTCGGTCGCATTCTCCCTCGCAGAGTCACAGACTTCAAAGTTCGTCTTCGTTCAGTGCCGTTCGGTTCGGTTCGGTTCGGTTACCATTGCAAGTCTAAGTTCACTTTCAAGCAGACATCGCAGTGAGTACATTAATAGATTGAATTGTTGTTACGTTTTCATTTTTTACTTTCGATTTGTGCGCGAAATTTTAAACAAATTAGAAGTAAAACGCTCGCAACTCACTTATTTTTGTAGTTTTCAGCAAAAATTTTCAGAGTTGCGTGTTACACACGTCTTAGCACTGACAGGAAATCGCTCATATTTTACGTAATGAAAAATCTTTGAAAAGTATTAATGTATAATTTTCTCTTTACCAGTACTCTTATTTTATTATTGTGCTGTTTACTAGCAGTTCAATTCAGATCTAAAAAGTACATTGTCTTGTATTTATTATAAATTGGCCTTTCACTTTTATTCGACGCTTATTGCAATGACAGTATGCTACTGACTATAGCAAACCAAAGCAAACCTTCACCGGCTGAGAGCACTCTTATAATATTTTGCATTACGTCAAATCAACGCTTATCTTGCTCAATATTTGGGGGGAAAATTTGCATGCAAAACATCAAATACTGCTCAAATTTATACTTTATAATAGCCAAGTTTGACAAGTTAGTACTGGAGCTTAGCTGGCATTTGTTTAGTGCTTGAAGCAACCAATGACAGCATTCAAAATGACTAATGGCAGCATTCAGAATGATGCAATTTTTTATCCACTTACGCAGAATTATAGAAAAAAATGGAAGAATAGTCTGTTTCCCATCAATGCAGGTAAAAAGAGTGAAATAAATAGGTAATACTAATAATGGGTTTCTTGAATGCGAACTGATTTGAATCGGTTTATTTTGCTTGCGAGATTCCGAAAGAAGAAACAACCTGATAAACAACTGTGATTGCTAGTTCTAATTGTGGCGTTTTACATTTACTGTTAATATCTTTATCTTTCTGTCATTTAGACTGTGGAAAAAGAAATTCAGCTTATCCTCTTGTATATTAGATACTTTCCTCTTTTAATTGCATTTGTATAGAAAATCAAAATCAAAAGAAAAGTGTTCGCCTCCTCTTAAAATGTATATTGTCTTGTTCTGTTGAAATAATGCAACTCTATTGGTGAATAAATGGATTGCCACCTTTAACCAAATCTTATATCAGCTATTATGCGTCTAAATGATGAATGAGTTTCTTGCATTATCGGTTATATTCAAATTTTCTGATGTTAATTACATATTTTTTTGCTATAGATCGGTTCCGGTTTCTGTGCAAGGATTTCGTTTTCGCAAACAATTTTTTTTCAAAATTCATAAAATCTGTTGCTGTGATGCGCACGCATATCAGTGTTATGAATCTATCCAAGTATATAATTGACCGAATTTCCGAATTTTTTTAACTACATGAATTGTCAAATAAAGTAATATTCTCTGCAAATATTATTTTTAACAATTATAGTTTTCTTGAAACGTAAGAAAATTCAGAACAGAACAACAGAGGATAACAAATTTTCATGGCTTAATACAATTTGTTAATCTAAAATCGAAAGAAATGCATATAATAACAAGTGAATTATATCATGTTATCATCAACATGGAAGATGCTTTCAGACAAATCTTTACGGAGCTAGCGCATATCATTATCTTCAGTGTTTCAATCAATGTTTTGAATATAAGTGATTTGTCGAAGTCGCAAGTCTTCTGAAGTTGGAAGTTGCCACTCTTTATTCTTATGTTCTGACAGTCTGTTCGAATTGATTCTTTGCTGCACTAAATTATAAAGTCGGCAGAAATCTTGCTCTTCATGAAGTTCTTCATCATCACATGATCTTGCATGACTTGGCCAGCCTTTCAAATACGTGGTTATTTCACGTGCGCAGTATCTTGTAAGGTCTTGTTCATCATCCCTTGAAACTTTATCACGCCTGTAAATGCATATTTGTAGGAAAACAGACAAATTGGATGCAATATTGGTATAAATTAAGTCAAACGAACGACTAATAAAAGCGATGAATTCATTAGGAAGTCATTAATATAAAAGCATTTATATGCATTGCAGTGTTGGATTCTTAAGATATAACATTCTAATTCTGCAGCAAATCTTTTTCTAATTTGGTGTAGAGTTAAATTGAAAAGTAAATAATATATAGTTGTACCAAACATATGTGTGTTTAGTCATTTGAAAGGAGTTCAAGGTTCGGAGTTATAGATAAAAAAGAGTCAAGATATTCCAGAAAAATTCACAAAATCCTTAAAGTCTGACCAGCCGAAGAAAGTTTC